AATTAAGGAAAATATCTCATAGCGTATAATGTTTTATTCCGTATCTCACTTTTAGTGCTATATAATCTTCCACAGATTTTATAAATAAAATCTATAACATAATGGGTATTTATACTATATGTAGTTCTTGATGTAAAAAAGATCAACTTTCGTACTGTAAAAATTCCATCTATGTGAATAAGTATGAATATACTCATATACACATAATTATACTAAATAACTAATTTAATGAAACTAAATTCCTATAGAAAAATGGGGAAAGTGTAGAATCGCCCACTGCTTGGCGTGTTTTTAAGAATTGCACATACTCGGTATCCATGTACACATCGACCTATTTTCACTTAAAAAAACATCCCAGAATTGCACAAAAATGCCATTGTGCACTCCTTTGACTTTATTCATGTACACATCGACCTATTTTCACTTAAAAAGTCAAAAGAAAATTGACAAAAATCCAATTCCTTTTACTTTTGTAAAAAGTGCCAAATAAATAAGTGGGCGATTCTGCACTTTACCCGAAAAAATATATAAAAATACCATTTACCTATATATATTAATAATTTATTATTACACAAGGTTTTTCATATATCATCTCAAAGGAACATAAATTTAATTAAAGCGATGCATTATTGGAATAAATTTGAGTCAGTGTTTTAGGTGCAAGTTATTTAGATTTCTATTGTAGAAAGAATACTTTAGAAAATGTATAGAAATATTATTTTGAACCATAAAAATTCTAAATAGTAAAATTTAAAGTACTGAAAAGGTAGCTATGTTTTTTTGACAGTAGATTATATAATATAAAAATACCTCATGCTGAGCATTTTCTGAAATTACAATGCCAAATGAAATTTATATAGTGCAGTATTTAGCAATAATAACTTTTTGTAAACAAATGTAGCTATATTCGCTTAATTGTAATGACAGTAATTTTAACTGCATTTGTATAAGGCTGTACAGAAGATTTATTTATATGGGTTTTCATCCGCAGAGAACAACCGGATTCTCTGTGGAAGTGCTTCCTTCCGAAAATAATGTTTAAATATTACTCTAACTATATTTGAAAGCAATGCTATAACAGTGCCCTTATAAGACTCATGATCCGAAAAGCTTTGGTTTTAAATTGTCTCGTAAAAACTTTCAATTACTTCTGCAAAATTCATACCCACGTAAAAATTACTACACCGAAGTCAATTGATTATACAGCAAAACGTTCCTAAAAACAATCAACTCCACAATTCGAGATAATGCCAGTTTCCTGTAGTAGCCTGACAAAACTATGAATGATTTTTTAAGTCCTGTTATTTAATTATTGTCCTGACAAATGTGCCATTATCAGAGGTGGTCATTTAAGAAAATAACCACTATATGAGTTTTCAACTTAATGTAATTTTTTTCAAATAAATAATTCACTTTTTATACTCCCAAGACATTTAATATTACATAAATCTTATTCACAAATCTATTTCTATTTCAAAAGCAATTTATGAAAAACACATTTGAAATTTTCTTCATCAAACTAATAATAATGAAAATTAAAGTATGCATAAAAATGATTATATGTGTTTTAACAAAATAGCACAAAATATTTAATGTAAAAATGTGGTTCTAGTCTCATACTTGTAAAGAAAAATAGACCAAAAAGAAAAAACAATGTAAGCTACTATGATCATCTAAATTTTCACATAATTTTAGTAGTGGAAAAAAAAAAGATTCCTTAAGCTTGTATGTCTTGTCTACCCATTCAATAAGTAATAAACACATTAAATATTTCAATGTTTATTTCATTAATAAAACTTACCTTTTTTGCTCGCGAAATATAATTAGTACATTTTTTAAAACATAAAAAACATTCTTTTTGCTCGGCCACATCACATTAGTCGAAAAAAAATTGAATCATGCAAGATCATTTTTAAGTAAGGTATGCTCAAATTTATTAGTACATAATATTCAAATGATAAAGCATCTACATGAACAAGCTTTAAAAAAGTATTTCTAAACTGTAATCAAAAAAAAAATTTTCCAAAATACAGTTTCAGTAGAATGCAAAAACTATATTTCTGCATCTGCACACTGAACCAAATTATCAAGTCTGAAATTATCACTTTTCAGTCTTTAAGCACATTGTTTTTTCAGGTTAAAAGTAAAGATGGAAAATCAATTTCACGCACACAGAATCTCCATTTCACAACTAGTCAGTTATCAGCAACGTTCTCTCAAACATTAGACACGATTACACGTGCATGGCTTTAGTTGTATATTCATAGTCAGTGCTGGTATTTTATTATTTATTATTACTATTTTCTAAACAGTAAAAAACATAGTAAAATTTGTAATACAGTAAATCCTAGTAAATAATATATTGCATTACTACAACCACGAAGAAAATAACACCACCATCGCACAACAATAACTAGCGCGGCGCCATATTGCTTGTTTGGGAAACTTCTGAGAGTGGGGGAGGGAGGGGAATTTTTTTCCTCGCGTCAGCATTAACAGGGAGAAAAGTTTTGCGATTGTGAATGAACTTGTTCGCGTTAAAGAGATGTTGGTTGATACCGGTGTTTATTTGTAATAGCAGAAATGTAAGTGCTTATGTGTGTGTATTCAGAGAACCAACTCGTAGCAAAAACCACCTCCCTAAGACGACCGCCTCTGAAAGAAACCAGTATTTCTGAAAACATAAGTATACTTTGGTATTGAATATTCCCTCTGTAAGGCGACCATTCACAAAGAAAATTCTGCAAGTGTGTCTGGTCGCCTTAGAGAGATTCATTCCGTAGATGCAATCTCCCTAAGACGACCACCTCTAAAAGATAAACGTATCTCTGAGAACGTGAGTATATATTGGTATTGAGCATCACCTCTCTAAGGCGACCACTTGCAAAGATGAATTTTTATTTGCGGCTGGTCGCCTTAGAGAGACCTCGTTGTGTGTGGTGTATATGATTACTGTTATTGTTTCCGAAAAAAAATTTTAAATCAAATAAATAAGCATATTTAGTAAAAACCCTCTCTAAAACGACCACCTGCGTTTCCAGGTTACTCTGATGGTCTTAAAGAGATCATATTTTCATTCTGTTAATTTTATTGTTTACAAGAGGTCTATTAACGTCAGATAAAAAAATAGCATAAACCCATATAAACCAACAGAAGATTTATTATTATATTGATACCAGTAAGAAAACCAGTAAAAGTCAATATAAACCTATACAAACCAGTACAAAGTTCTGCCATTGATGTTGGTTGTATGGGTGTCAATTGATACCAGTAAGAAAAAACCCACAGAGATCAATAGAAACCAGTAAAAGTCAGTAGAGACCATCAAAAATTCTATAGGTACCAGTAGAAAGTTTTACTGGTTTGTATGGGTCATTTTGAAACCAGTAAAAAAACCTACAGAGACCAACAGAAACTAGTAAAAGTCAATAGAAACCCATAAAATCTTATGGGTACCCATAAAAAGTTTTACTGGTTTCTATGGGGCATTTTTAGCAGGGTTTCTTTCTTAATATTCTTTATTTTTTTTTTTTTTTCTTTTGTCTCCTTAAACTTTCTCAAGTCATGTTTGCTTCCTCTTTAATTATTTTCTTTCACGACTATTATGTATCGTTCCTGAATTCTGCTCACTATTTAATTTTTATGGCGTGGAGGTAAAGGGTACTATACCCTAGGTATTACAAAATATTTAATCTTTGGTTCCTTGAATAAGTTGAAGATTATAATCACATGCGATTCCAAGATAATGGAAATGCTTGCCTTTTAAGGCAGAAGCGCTCAGCTGAGGTGACGTCTCCACAATAAGTGAGGCCATGGAAACAGAAAAAATCTCTCCCGGAGAAACTTCAAGAGAAAGTCAGCCAGAGACGGCAAAAAATAGTTTTTCAAGTCAGGAAGGGGTATCCGGAATTCCAGTTCTCGCAGTTTCAGAGGAAGTTCGGGAAATTCGTCGACAGAGTGCCTAAAAGGAAGGATTAACCAACCAGACTCAGAGCCTTCCACGAAAGATCCTGTATTTAAACAACTTTCATGTGTTTTATCGTGAATCAATTATCCAGTCCAATCCGAATGTCGGTGAACAGATTATTTGCATGTATGTTAATATGATTTACTAATGTGAAACTTGAATATGAGCTGGTTTTCATAAGAATTATTTCCATCAAATCTAAATCTTCTTAAGGGAAAGCCTTTGCATGGTTCAAACAGCATTTACATGGTGTACCTACCAGCGGAGCGGTTAAGTCGCTGAACACTGGTAATTCAGTCTGAGGTTCGAAGTCCGCGAAAGGAATGTCCGGCATGGGTGTTTTCGGGGTTTCCTCGTGTGTAACGTGTATACGAGCCAGTTCCATAAGAAAGTCCTCCATGAAGGCATTCATTCCCTTAGGTAGATAGCCCTAGTGTGCTTTACCCTAATTAAATAAATCAAAATCTTTATATGCTGTCATATTCGATTAAACAACCCTGCATATGAATTTGAAGGGGAGTGCTTATTATAAATTTTAGAGGAAACAAACTAAATAGAAAATGCTTACTTAAAGTTACTTTGAACACTGAGCTTCTTTCTCTCCAACCGAAATTAATCTGTAGCAAAAGTCCAATAATATGCGACCGTTTAATTCGCAAATGTCTATAATTCCCCTTAGTTTTTAAATGTAAATAAAAAAAAAAAAAAATTCGATTTTTAGAGAATTCAGCATCGTAAATTCATTGGCAACTTTTTCCTTATATAAATATGAAGAAACTTTTAACAAAAATATATTATATTTATAACATATTTTGATTCAAGATTATTTTATTATTTAAATTATTTAGCACTTTCTCCGCATATATCAGCGCTATTCGCCCCTTTTTTATAGCGAACAAAGGCCATGAATCTCCGTAACTTTTTTGTTTCTGATCGATTTGTCCTTGAAAAATATAATGTCTGAGCGGCAAGGGGAAACTCAAAATACAAAGTTCTCTCGATAGGTTAGTACATGGAGATAAGAATGACTTACTTCTTACCTCCTAGGGTAAAGGGGTGGGAGATCCTCAATCGCCTTCCGGGATGTTCTGCATCGGAAGCTAATCAGTTAGCCATATGCACTGCCTCAATCACTTGTGGTACTACAGAGGTTCTGTCTCTGAAAATTAATTTTGAGTGTAAGTGTAAAGAGTTTATGCATCCAGGATTTTTTAAATATTGAATTCTGGCTTAAATGCATTTTATAACTGATTATTTTCATTCCTGTGCAACGGGTGTGCTTTTTTACATTGCCGGCGAATAGCGATAGATTCATAGAAATAACTCTAGTAAGGGAATTTTCTGGCTTTAAGTGGGAAATATGGTAACAAAAAGTTTAAGAACTACTGAAATCTTCTCTTAATAGATTCAAAATTTCACTTTAATTACTTTAAGTTACAAGTAATATTAATGACCTAAGTGTCGAAAAGCAATTTGGCTAATGAATATAATATTTTTTTCCATAAAAAATTTCAATTTAACTTAAACTTTAAGAGGCTGGAAATGTCTGCACTAGTTCTAAGGAAAAAAAGTTGTTAAAACTTTCGAAAAAACCTCCAGCGAAGTTTTCGTTTATCATGCCAGTTCTGTTTGTAATAAGACTGTTTTTCCCTCTTTTGTGACTGCAGCGATCCGTAAGTACGTAAGTAAAGCAATACAATTTAATTCATGAAGCAGAAAGATTTTGATAGGCTTCGATAAAGTGTTTTATTATGATTACTAACATTTTGACTTCAGACATCTGAACTGATCAGCCGAAAATATCACTTAAACGATTTATTTGTTACATGCTAATCAACTCTTATATCTTCGATTTTGCCCTCAACTAAAGATCTCTCTCAAATCCAGTTAGCTGCCACTAGAACGTTTCTCGGGATTGGCTTAATTCACTAGTTGTTTGCATTATCATCATGGAGAGAACTGCGCAAGTTGCACCACAGTTGGACAACCGAGATAGCATTCTAGAATAGTGAAAAGACAAGTGATACATACTTAAGCCTTATACAAGAATTGAATCCACATATCCGTATGTGGTTAGCCTTTAACCACCATAGCGTCCTGTGCGGGTGATTGTTAGCGAAGTTTAATACTTACTAAAACGACCTGAAACCTAATTTAATACTTATTTCAACTAAATGAAAAACCATGAAACTATTTATAGCCCTATTCTCTGTAAAATATATGCTAGTTTAATTTTAGCTATTTGAAAAATGGGTAAACTTTGTAGAGACATTATTAGGTTATTTCGAAGCAAGAGACATAAAAAATGAGCAATGCCTTCGCCGAGACTCGAACCACAGACCTCTCGTATAAGCGCCGAGTGTGCTGACCACTACACCACGAAGGCATGCTAAGAAGACGGGAGAAATACCTTATAACTTTTATGTTGTAATGATAAGAAGTTGAATTATTAAATTTAGAAGCACTCATTTTAATTACAGAATTGTGTAATAGAATAGTTAGTTTTGCTGTTTTTTACTAAACAAACATGATGAATTATGTAGGATGCAGTTAGTTTATCCAGATAATCCCCGATCTTATTTTTGTTTAATGGACAAATTTGCCATTCTAACTGCAGTTACATTAAACAAATTTTATTTCTTAAGTAATCCGCAATTTTGCAAGTTTCGCAACATGCCATTTTTCATGTGAATTTGTCTTTTCAAAGAAGTTATTAAAGATGTTTTGAATACCATTGTAGTTTAAGTTCGAATGCCATTGAAGTCCTTAAAACAAAATAGTCTCTGGATGGATGATATTAATATTTCATTCCTATTTTTAAAACAAAAATAATCATTTTTCAAAAATATAAAATAAACAGATAAAAAGATGAGTCATACGTGTTGCGAAATTTATTCTTTGAACAAATGTAGAGCATAAAATCTTATCATGAGTGAACAAAGAAATCTAGCAGCAAAACTGACATCTAATTCTATTTGCTTGTTGAAGAAAGGAGAAAATAATATATACAATACGTGCTCTTTCTTTTTTTTCTCTTTCCTTTTCTCCGGATGCTATTTAACTAGAAAATGGGGTTGAAAAAACGAGACACCCAAAATGTCTGTCCTTACCAGTACGCTCATTAATTGCTATAGATTTTATAAAGAACTTCGTTTTTTGAATTAAAACTAATTTTGACTTTGTGCTTTAATTGTATTTTTATCATCTACGACTTCGAATTTCTCAGTGGTTGAATTCATGCAACAGCTTTGAAGAGAAGTTAAAGAAAATAATTTAGAGAGAAAATTTTTGGAAGAGATGCAATTATTAGTGAAATATAATGACTAATGATTTGATGGTGGCAATGCTTGCCAAAGTTATCTAATAAATGCATCATCTTGACATTAGAAACTGATAAGAAGGCTGTGGATAACATTATTCTAAAAGCAATATGCATACCAGTATTTACAACAGAGTTCGTTGTCGTTTTATGAATTTGTATAGACTGTAAACCGGTTTATTAAAGTTATAAAGTTCATAAATGGAAATGAGTTTTAAAAGATCATAAGCTGTTTGGAATCGAAGTAATAATTTGTAAAACGCGTAGTTTGTAAACGCATTGGAAATTCTTAAAAGTAAACCTCCACTGCCATAATCCACAATTCTTTTTATTACATCTAAGCCGCCGATGGTCTTCAAATGTAAATAAATCTTTTGACGAATTTAGCAAATAACATTCACTCCGCTTTGGTGAGAAATATCAACTACGTCTTTACATCCTTAATAGGCTCACTTCCGGAATAAAATATATGATCAAAAAACGTCTTGGATGCCGAACCATGTCTCGAATTACGAACATTCAAGTCTGCAACATATGATTTCAAAAACTATTTTGAGGTAACCCATGCCCCATTATTAACCATCAAGGACTGGAAGCATTGCTTTAATATCTTTCATTGATTAATAAAGTCTTCCAGCATGTGGCTTACAGGACTATGAATTCGGCTAGACGGAAATCTAGCTAAGTTGGGTTGCAGATAACAGACTTTGAGAACGTTTTTTGTTATGTATGATACTATGTCTCTATATAAAACAAGAGGTTAGGAAATTAACAATGAAGACGTTAAAATTTGCTAGAGTATCATAAAAATGAGCTCAACAAGAAATAACTACAACAGCTTCAGAGAGCGCAACAAATGTCATTTGCAGAAGAAACATCGTCAGAAGAAAAGGTAGAAAGGTAAATGATCCTTCTCTGATCCTCAAATTCTTTTTTTCAAAGTTCAAATTCAAAGTTTGCTAAGATGCAAAGTTTTCACGCAACGGCCCACTCTCATAAAGCTGGGCAAGATAAAACATTTTCAATCACAATACCATAGATTACTTCAGAAATACAGTGCTCAAAACATTATATTTTGATTTTGGATATAAGTTGCGGATGAGGAAATATTTTCGTGGCTGATATACGATGTATAGATGTTGTAAGATGTAAGAAATTAAAAAGAAGCAACGAAAAAGGAATAATTAGATTTTATTGACCATATTTGTCGGTAAGCAAAAAAATGCACAATTTGTTCATATTATACAAACAAGCAAAAAAAAAAAAAAAATATGATTTCTTGGATACAAAGGAACTTCAATAAGGGGTATGGTTTTTTCTGACCGAAAGTAAATTCTCCCACTTATGAGGAATGGAATCAATGAGATTATCAATTAGGGACTGAAGTTTTTTTTCTCTCACTTCTGGAAAAGACAGCTTTTCAACTGCTGAATTGTTTCTGGGACTGATAAGAGACTAGCATTCTATCTCCATAAAATGTCCCAAACATGTTTTGTTCGGTTCATGCCAATGCATGTCCTCCAGATAGGAACAATCAGTTCGAAGAATCCTTTCGTCGAAAAGGAAATTGTCCATAAGCTGAGTATGATATGGCCTGGCAATATGATCCATGAGAATTAATTCATCTCCGATTGTTGCAGCGTAAAGGAGCACAATGTGTCTGAGGATCTCATCCCTGTGTCACTGAGCTGCTAGTGCTCCATTCTTGACAATTCGTAGGTTGGTGCGGTCATTGATACAAAAACTGGCCCAGACTTCCACTCCGCCTTCGCCAAAGCGGACATTTTCATGCAAAAATGAAGGAGTATTCAGTATACCAGGTCCTCTCCAGATGAGAATCCGCCTATTGTCAGATTGTACTTTAAAGTGGGATCATCCATGATGAACACATTGCTCCATTCATCTCATCTCCGTCTGAGATACTCCTGTGCCCACTTCCTACGGGCAGCACGGTGGTCATGTGACAACAGAACGTAAAACTAAGGGAATTACAAATCGGATTGAACAAATTTTGAGTAAAATAGAAGGCGCAGTATATCTCAAACAAAATGACGCGTAGAGAATAAAAAAAAAGTGCATTTTTAACATAGTTACTTGATGTTTATATGAAAGAGATTTCCACATCTAAATTATGTCATCTTCCTCATCATTTTCTACTCATGCTCCCTCCATTCGTTCTGGGACAGTAAAATTAAAATTTTACTTGTTTAACTTTTTTGTTTCTTAATGAATGATTTTAATATATTTTTGGTTACGAAAGCATTCACTAAGTACTATTAGGACATTTAAATGAGCAATCGTCTGCGGTCCAGAAACGAATTAATCTATATATATGGGTGAAATAGATTCGGTTTACTATAATTTTGTTTGATGAAAAAAGAAAAGAATTAAATTCGTGAATCGAGCTTTCAGTGTAACTGGCATTTATCCTTCTACCTCCTACACTCCACCAAATGTCCCTTATTAGTATTTCAAAAGTTACGAATTTTAAAAATGTTAGATACATCACAAAACATTCAAAGCTTTTAAAAGATTATTATCTCCAAACATCATTACCATAAATGGGATAGATAATGTTTCCAACTGGAGTAACACTGAAAACAAATGAAAAATCTCTTTTTTAGACCTTTTTGGAATGACTAAAAAATATCGCACTATGACTTCCATCCGCCCTGATATCAATGAAGGGCGTGATGGGTGCTGCTTGCCGTTGCCTCTAGCCTTTCAGCGTCCGTTGATTAGACGCACAATAGCTTGCTGATAGATGTGGGATGGAAGCTTCGTAAAGAAATTCCGTGGTTGACTCTTCAACCACGGGCGTGAATTCGAGTAAAACAACA